GCTGGTGGTGAGATAGATTTGTTTGGTTTCTTTTTTTTTTGTTTTTTTTTTCATTTTCTTACGACCTTATTGATGATGGATGATTGGGATTTTTATGTATGTATTTATGTTTCGTTATGATTGATGGATATAATGGATTGTAAATGATCGATCGATTTATGAAAGATATCGGATTTCACTTCAATTCATTATCTCTCTCTCACTCAGCGTAGCTTAAACTCAGAGCATAGATCTAGTAGTAGTACTCTGCTCTGCTCCTCCCTTCAAGATCCCATCAACCAACGCACCAGCAGCCAGAGTCTCCTCATCCTTGAAATGCTTTCCCACCAACTGCAACGCAATAGGCGCACTGTCATACCGTTCCGGACCGGTATACTTACTCCATTCGCGCTGATCAACTTCGTCTCGAGGCTTATACGTCTTATGCTCGCTGGTCAATTGATCCAGCTGTGCATCCACGCTTAGACCAGATGGGAATACCACGGCCGGCTGGTCGAGGATGTTCCACACCGCGGTGTAGTTCCAGTAGTGGGATTCACCGAGAACGGAAGCAACGCCCGCGTATGCGGGGCAGAGGATGAAGTCCACGCCTCTGGATTTCATTAACGCGTGGTATTCGTCTCGGTAAATGTCACGCTGGACATTGAGGTTCCAGGATTCGGCCATAGTCAGGGGGGTGGGGCTGCTGTAGTCGAAGGCCCAGGCTGTTAAGGGGAGGATTGGTTCGCCTGTTTGGGCGATGAGTTTGCGCTGGCTGAAGGCGCCGTCGGGGAAGTACATTGCCGACTGGGGGTGGGGGGTTGTGGTTAGTTGTGGTATGTTGGATGGGGTTGGGGTGTGACGTACGATAATGTCCCAGCCGTGCTTGTGCTTATATGGTTCCCAATCGATGACTTTGATGCCAGCGGCTTGGAGCTTGGATTTGGCGTGGTTGAGGGCCCGGGTTATCGGGGGGTGAGGGCGGACGACGCTGGTGTTTGTTAGGGTACTGTATGCGTTGGTGTGGCTGGTGGTTGGCTTACCCATCGTCCCACATGATGGCTACGGTCATGTTTTTGGTGGGTTTGGCTCTTTTCCATGGGACTGGAACTAAGGACGTCTCGATATCCCATGGCTCTTGGTCGATGATGGCCTGCTGGAAGATGTCCATGTCTTCCACGCTTTGGCTGGCGAGAGGTCCGATTACGCCGCGGATGGATTCGTGGCCTTCCTTGGGTGCTTTTGCACCTGATAATGGGTTGCGAAGGGCTGTTGGGCGGAAGCCATAGGAGCCGCAGAATGCAGCGGGGCATCGGATTGAGCCTCCAATGTCTGTGCCGATACCTAGGGGAGCGCATTTGAAGCCGGTCGAAGCGCCTTCACCACCTGAGGAACCACCGGCACTGAGCGTGCGGTTGTAAGGGTTTAGCGTCGTTCCGGTGAGGTTATTACTGCAGCAGAGGTGCTTTATGTGTTGATTAGCTATGCAAAGTCCTTGTCTGCAAGGTAGGAATGTAGCTATACCATGAGAGATTGTGGCTGGTTGGTTCGTACGTGGAAGACGGCGCCTGCCTTTTCGAGGCATTGTATAATGAGGGCGTCTTCTGTTGCAATGTCGTCCACCCTGGTGCTGTCAGTTTCTGGATTTGATACTGCATCTGAAGAATAATGGAGCCATACCAGGCTACATAGCCGGCATTACATGTGTGGCCCTTGACTCCAACATGCTCCTTCACGCTTATCGGGACACCGTGCTGCGAGTTATTAGTTTAATGGATTGTACGGTACCGTTGATAAGGATGGTCCCACCAAAGGCCCAACTAGCTTTCCGGTTCGTCTGTAATACTCATCTAGTTCCTTGGCTCGCCCGATTGCTCGGTCGGTTAGGAACTCTGTAGCGAAGTTAAGCTGACAACAAGTATTAGTCGCATAGAAATCCGGACAAGATATAGTTTGGCATTACCAGTTGATGGCCCAATACGGCTCGCTTGAGGAAAGCCACGACTACCTCCTCTGCCGTGAGCTTTCCTGCCCCCATGTTTTGCACTAGGGTAGCGGCAGACATGTCGGTTATACTGAGCTCTCTCGCCGAGAGAAGGCCGCTTTTGCGGGGAAAGTCCTCCACATTCTTCAGGTCGGCCGAGGGTAGGTTATGTGCGGGGAGGAGCCATTGTTTGGGGATTGACTGTTGGAGAATGTCCTTGGCCTTTTGTGCCTGGAGCTCCCATGAGAGTGACATAGTGTAAGATGCTTGCAAGCACTAGGTTCAGAATTGGGTGATAAGAGGAGATGTGACCAGCATGGGAAAGGTGGGGAGTGCGCACAGTTTAAAACCGGCAGTCAAAAACACTAATGGTTTTCAAGACAAGGCAAATGAGGAGTCGACCAGGTCTACATCTCGGAATCGGAATGCAGTCCAATCACGATCAATAGCCTGTATAGACCCAGCTGCGCTGCAGCTCCTAGCTCCAGGGAGGAGATACGCCTCGGGTGGAGATCCTCTTATCTATCTGGTCGCGAGCACTTGCCTATCAAGGACCATGGCGTCTATCGGCAATTAGCAAATGAACGCTGAATGGAGCTCTTGTGCCGACCTTGCCTATCTGGAATTTTTACATTATCAATCATTGGTAGTCAGTACCGGGGAAGATCTGCTAAGAATTACAGGTGGGCACAGAGAAACACAGCCGAAGGTTTAAACGACCAGGCGGAATATGTTCCGCATACTAGTTGGGGGCGAGAGATGGACTTGACATCTCATCAATGGGGCTCGGATCAACAACGAAGAAAATCAACAATCATTCTAGTGGATATGATTGAGCGGAGGAAGGAAGAGAAGCATTTAGCGATGGGATATTAACAAACTAACTAGTAACAGCCAGGTCAGATGACCCGGCCTCCCCGTGACATTCGCCATCTTCATCTTTATTTTCATTTCCCCTTTCTCCTCTTTTCGATTATACCTGTACTTTCCTATCATCCATAAATCCAATAACTGTATGTCCTCTAACCACAGCACGTCAATTCTTCACATAATGTCCCACATATCACCTGACACTTCTCAGACATTTCAATCTGTGAGACCCGTTCTGTTTCCACTGTCGGCCTTCTCAGAGCGATCGTCTCCGGATGGGCCATCTCTGGCTGAATCGTGGTTGAATGGATCCCATATGCGTGGAAACATTCGTTAATGGTCTTACTCAATTTCAGGAAACTCGGCACTGAGCAATCGGATACCATTACATGAACCGATGCGAGCGCCTTGTGCTGGTTTAGGCGCCAGATATGTAGCTCGTGGACCGATAGGACACCGGGAATCTGCCAAACCCCAAATTGTGAGAATTTATTCGATAAGTATAGCCTCGTTGTGGCCTACCTTCTCTAGATCATGCTTCACATCCTCAAGGTCGACTCCATTAGGTGCACTTTCTAGCAGAATGATTCCACATCGCCGCACTGTTATTGGGTTCAGCATCCATGGATCAAACAACATGAAAGGACATACCTAGTGGAATTGAAGACAGCATGATCATTATGGCTATTCCCATACTTGTGCCCGGATCCGCATAGAATCGCCCTCCATAGTGAGTGAACCATATGACCAAGGCCGCTGCCATCACCCCAAGGTTATTGGCCGCATCGCCTATAACATGGGTCAAAACCCCCAGCATTCCTAGGTCATGTCCATGAGAGGCTGTCCGAGCCCCATGCGAAAGGTGTTTATGATTATCGTGCTACAGAGTAGAAGTCAGCCAGCTGAATGCTCTATATTCTGCTCAAGTACTAACGTTCGGACTTTCTGATCGTTCCAGTTCTGTAATGTCATCTGTCGTCGACACAGGAAGCTCTTCCAGAGCTACTGAGCTAGGTTCATGTCCATGATCATGATGGTGATGCTCTGTAAAACAGTTACCGAGGCCGCCTCATTAGCTGTTGAAGCCGGAATTACCATGGAGAAACGTGGCGCTGATAAGATTCAGGGTCAGTCCGATTGCTCCCATGATGAACATGAGCTTAGGATTCTCAACACCTGTTGCACATTAACCGGATGAGTTTAACAGGAGGACGGAGCACCAACGCTGGAGTGTGATGAATCGCTCAATGGACTGTAGGAAGATGCTAATCCCAAGCGCGAAGAGTAGGACGCCATTGAAGAAGGCGCCCAGCAACTGGGCTCGTTGCCAGCCAAAAGATAGGGCTTTCGGCGATTCGTCTGCTTCTGATACCTGGATTGAACTCAGTACCTGCTGCACCTTTCTTGACCGTGCCGCGGACTACCTTGAGAGCAACGAGCGCGACAACAAACCCGACCAGGTCGTTCAACTAGATTCATAAGTGACCGCTTTGCAACAATGGGCCACACATACATAATGGAAAGCATCGGCCACCAAAGCAAGGGAATGTGTGTAAAAACCAACTACCGTACGGTCGCATCAGCCAGGCTTGCAATGAAGCAATCTGCAGAGGGGGTAGAGGGGAGCCAACCTGAGATCTCAGCCACAAAGAATGCCGAGGAGATGACAACTACCGCCGTCAATCGCGTGGCGCGTGATATTTTGAGCACCATGATACCGAGCTCCCTCAGATGAGAATGAGACAAATCCCAGACGACCTTTTGCTGTAGAAGTACTCACGGCCAGGTGTGAGGCTACCGGCTTATTACCCCTTACATTAGAATCGGGCCGGGCTGGAATGCGATGAACTTTACAAACCAGGCTGGTCGAACATGTTGTGAGGGATCCTTTCTAGGGTGTCTATACCTAGGCAAACATGTTACTCTCAATTCTCTATGCTGAGGGTGAGGGTCTAGACTGTTGTGCCATCCAGCTCCGACATGCTCACACCATTACCCATGTCACACATCATATGCAGCTGACGTAGCAATCTCGGCATTTTATTCCAATTGTAATTGCAGCTAGAATTGTTCTTCTCTGCTGGGGATTTACTACGAACCACGTTGTGACAAACATCAGGGATCGCTATTCATTATCTCATAACTACTGCATCACCAACATGTTTTACTATGCGGCGATCTCATCCACCAAGCCATCTAACTCTCTCTGCCAGTTCCTGTGCCTTGAGATTTGCCAAATGAACTGGTCGACGAATCCCTTGCTCTCGCTATCAATATTGGACGATACTTGCAGCTGCTGCGTGGGTGCACCAAGGGCAGTCACCACTCCATAGCTTTCCTTAACGTGACCATCCGAGGCATATTTAACCGCATCTAGACCAATTTGCTTCCGGATGAAGTCTACCGCTTCGTTAACGCCAGCGATAGGCTTCAAGTGTGCGAAGGACTCAGCAATCCAGTGCTTAGCGATTCCGTTCTTCGCCAGCACATCTACGTGCTTTCCACCGGGTACGAAAGTCGCGTCAAAGAGCGTGGATCGCATTCCTGGGAAGTGGTGATCGGGAATCACCTTCTCTCCTGATTCAGAGGTGACACCCTGGCGCTGGGATCCAATGGTGAATACAAATGCATTTTGCTTCTGCAAAGCGCTCTTCATGTCCCCGTATGAGTTGAGGTCGAAGCCATCCGCGATGAGGATGGCAACTCGGCGAGTAGCAATCTGCGCGCTGTCAGAAAGGTAGTCGAACTGGCTCAAGCCTTTTGATGTTTTTCCATCGTTCTCCTTTGGTGCCTTGGTCGGTGTGTTGCCTCCGACATTCTTCGCAACAGTCTTAGCCAGCTGGAGGTCAACAACAGCCAGTCGTTCTGAGAGACGCTTATACACGATCTCCTCATCACAATGGTCCAGCTCGAAGGAGAATGCTTTGGAGACATGAAGCTTTTCTATGGGGCTGAGGGAGTTGTAGAACAGTTGGGCCTGGTTGAAATGCTCGCTGAATTTGTCTGACAGTGCACGTGCTTTCACGCCGCGCTGCTTCTCAGGGTGGGTCGCGAATCCCCCATGGGCTGGAGAGGTTGGGGGATTCGCATCGAACCTGTTAGGCCAATAATTCACCTTGCCCTTTGTGATGCGGTGTCTCATCTGACCATCCCGGTTGACCAGACTCATGTACGGACATACGGGACGGTTAATTGGCAATTCTTGCCAGTTAGGGCCCAGGCGGGAGATTTGCGTATCGAAGTAGGAGAAGTTGCGGCCCACAAGGAGGGGATCGTCCGAGAAATCAATACCGGGCACAATATGACTGGTGCAGAAAGCCACTTGCTCGGTTTGGGGGAAGTACTCGTCAACATTGCGATTCAGTTCCAGTTGACCAATGTACTGAATTGGCACAAGCTCCTCCGGCCAGATCTTGGTTGCATCCTGGATATCGAATTCAAAGTCATTTTTCTTCTCCTCTGGAATAACTTGGATGCCGAACTTCCACCTGGGGTACTGGCCCGCCTCAATGGCATCCATCAGATCCTTCCGATGGAAGTCCGGATCCTGACCTGCGATCTTCAGCGCTTCGTCCCAGACGAGAGAATGCACCCCGAGCTCCGGGGTGAAATGGAACTTGACAAAGTGCCTCTGCCCCTTATCATTCACAAGACAGTAGGTATTGACACCGAAGCCTTGCATCATACGGTACGAACGAGGGATAGCACGATCCGACATGATCTAGCAAACCAATCAGCCAGCTGCCCAGCAAATAAAATGGAACCAAACAAACCCACCCATTGTTGCATATGAGTCGTCTCCGAATGCATATACTGAAAATCCCAAAAGTTGTTATGCGCACTCTGACCCTGAGGAATCTCATTATGAGGCTCCGGCTTGACCGAATGAATAACATCAGGAAACTTGATAGCATCCTGAATGAAAAAGACCGGGATATTATTCCCTACAATATCCCAATTCCCTTCAGCAGTATACATCTTCACAGCGAAGCCCCGGACATCCCGAACAGTATCCGCACTCCCCCGACTGCCCTGGACGGTGGAAAACCGCACAAAGACGGGCGTTTCGCGCTCCGTGTCATTCAAGACACCTGCCGAGGAGAGATCGGGAATAGCTTTATGGAGCTTGAAGGTTCCGAAAGCTCCAGCGCCACGGGCATGCACGACTCGTTCGGGGATCCGTTCGTGGTCGAAGCGCATGATCTGCACCGGTCAGTCGATACTCTAGCAGAGGACTGTGTATTATAAGAAAGGGATCATACCTTCTCCCTTGCAATCGGATCCTCCAACAACGAAGGACCATTATGCTGCGCATCAACGACGCGAAGCCAATGATCGGGATCCGAGATCTTGATCCCATAATCGGTGGTCATGGGCTGAACTCCGGATAGCTGGATTGTGTCCCGGGCGAGGTCATCTTGTTTGGTGGTCATGTTGAAGCGTTCGCTGGCCATGATGAAGGATGTGTGTATTCCAGATTTCTCACACACTGGTTTACAGATTACAGTGATGCATAAGAATTAGTTCTCCGGGTACTACCTATCTAAATAAATACCCATCCGCCCCAACCCGACCCAGGAATAAGTTACCCCAATAATAACCCTCTATTTCTAAGCACTTCTAATGAATAACCCCCAGTCGATCAGGGACTGGCGTAGTCTGGACCGGAACCATGATGCAACGCTGTCAATGGTCCACAGATATGGTGTGAAGAGAAGAAACTCATGATGTCAGTGATGTGCACTAGAGTCCACTCACTCCCTCCCTCCCTGCATTGATTGACAGTCTCCATCGTAGAGGAGCCATTGCCTATGCTCTTGGCCAATGGCAATGAATTCATTGAAAGAGTGACAGGAGCAACTCAGCTGAGAGTGGAGAAATTGTAAAACTGTCCCTTATAGATAGACTTGTTTGAAGTTCCCTGGTTGATCGACTGTGTGGGCTGATGACGTCATGCTCTACTTACCTTTATTAGAGAGAGTGTGTGTGTATATAGTCAACAACATTATTCAATCTGTGTAAATGAATATGAATGCAAGAATGTATTCTCATCACCATAATATTCAAGCTCTATAATCTGTAAATGCAACTGCCTGTAAAATGTATACACGTATGTATAGAAGATGTATATATGCAACGAAGAGGCCAGCAACCAACCATCTAGCTAGTACAAATCTCCCCTCTCTAAAAGTCAGGTAAAAGATGAAAGAAAGAGATAGTGGAAAAAATCACATGTTATCCTCCGACCAGCGACTCCTCGCCTTCAAATACGCATCATGTTCACTCTTCCCATGATCCGCATCCATTCCCACTCCCAAGCCGCGCTCCACCCACATCTTACTTCCCATTTCAGACAGACGGGACAATGCTCTCGCGAACGCGAACCGCTCCTCATCACCGCTGAAGATCGAGGTCGTTTTGAGCGCTTGCATCGACAAGCCTAGATCGTCCATCATCATGCGCATCGCATCGGAGAGGTCCGCGCCGTCGTCGTTGCTGCCGTCCGTGAGGGTGGATTTGACGTCGTCGGCTGAGAGGAAGAGGTTGGTGAGGGGGACTTCGGTGGTGAGGACTAATTTTGCCTGTTTGATTCATTTCGTTAGTTTGAGTTGGTATTGGTATTGGGTGATTGTTTTGGGGGGAAAAGGTTTGGTTGGGGGCAAACGCACCCTACTCTCATAGACGGCATCAATGAAAGTAATGAACCGTCTAGCCAGATCTCTCTGGGTCAGGTTCATGCCCGGCACGTCGGTGATGATGAAGGCTTCGTAATTCCGGACGAGTTCCAGGTAATCTGCTGCGCCGGTAGCGCTGCCGATGAGCTGCTGGAAACTGAATTTGGCGGCTTTGCCGCTGGCCAGGGGCACATGGATCTTGCGACCCCAGACTTCTTGGGTGGCGGGGTGTGGGGGGTCGTTGATGGGGTCGCCGAGGAAGTCGAACCATTTCTGGGCGTGGTGGTCGGCGTCTGGGCCGAGCGGGTGGTGGTAGACGGCTGCTGGGGGACGGGGAATCTTGCGATAGTCGGTGGGGGAGTTGAGGTTGATAACGTCGAGGGCGGTCTTGAGGAGGTTGATGCAGGGGATGAAGGATTCACGTTGGATGCCGTTCTTGTAGAGGTCGTCGGGGTGACGGTTGGAGGTGGTGACGAGGAGAACGCCGTGGGACATGAGGGATTCGAGGAGTCTGTTGTGTTGCTTGTGAGTAATGGTTGTGGTTTGGATGAGGCTGGTCGGTGTACTACCTTCGGAGAATCATCGCATCTGCGACATCTGTGCACTGGAATTCGTCGAAACACAGCACGCTCGAGCCCTCTGCGATGGAAGCCGCCACGAGAGGCAGCGCATCAAAGTCGTTGCCGTACTTCATCTTGACAACGTGCATGCGCTTGTGCACATCCTGCATGAAGTTGTGGAAGTGGATGCGGGTCTTGGTCTTGATGTTGGATGGGAGGGTCTCGTAGAACAGGTCCATGAGCATGGTCTTGCCGCATCCTACGTCGCCGTACATGTACAGTCCCTTGGGGAGGGATTCGGGGATTGTAAGTTCCTGCTTTGCGTTGCGATTGAACAGCGAGCCGAAGAACGACTTGGGCTTGGGGTCGAGGGATTCGATGCTTGGATGGACGACGGGCGGGGGGTTGTAGGATCGCAGTCGTTCGTACAGGTCCTGCAGTTGCTCAATGATCTCTGTTCATTGTATTTCAAGCATGTTAGCGTGTGTAATCGAGATAAGGCCATTAATTCAGACACTCCCTCCCCTACGGGAGTGACCTCCGACAACCAATTCGCATGGGAATCCAACATACGTCTTTGATACGGATCATCTCGCAAGCGACCCTGCTGTACACGAGCATCATACTCCACCAGCGGACCACCCTGCATCCCAGCTGCAGCGTCACCCTCCACAGCCTTCCCCTCGGCGGCTGTCGCAAAGCGGCGCGCATACTGACCCTGCGACAACCTCACATTGACCCCATCACGGACCGGTACCCGGTGAGCCGTCACCGACGGCTCATAGCGGGAGTTGTTCACGCCATGAGCACCCCGTCTATACTCCCTGGCGCCAGGCCGGCGAGTGCCCCGAGGAACGGCACGCAAAAGAGGGCCCCGAGCCCTCAGTGCGCCGGGCAGGTAGTCCGCGCACAATTTCGCCGAGGATCCGCTCATGGACGTTGCGTATAACGAAATCTGTATGGGAAAATGGTGTGTGTCTGATCAAATGTGCGTTGCGACAAAGTCGTGGAGACTTAAACCCGAGGTTGTTCGGTCGGCAAATACTCGGCGAATGAGACGGTCAAGTGCGGCGCCCACGCGGCGAAGAAGCGGGGACAGACAAGTGGACACTGGAGAGGGCAATAGGAATGCACGCGCTGACAAGTATGTACAGGTCGACTCGACTCAACGGGTCGAATGCAAGTATGCAAGTGAGAAAGAAAGTCCTCTGAAGAGTCCCGATATTGACCGGAAGAGCAGAACTCCGCGGCGAAAAGGAACCGAAGCAACAAGAAAAGGCATTCCGATGGTCTGTCATGTGACTCGGAGAGCGGTAACTGATCGGCCCCAGATTTAGAGCCGACAAAGCCTTATTTGGCCGAGTGGATCATTCGTTTATTGTGAACGCCGGAACGGTAATTGGTTCCCTACCATGTGTTCTACTTGGCACAAAAAGCAGATGGTAAACAGTAGGTGTCGTAGCCTACGGCTAGAATATATATATGCAAGAGAAGACTTATGTACAAAAGACAATAGCACATCACAGTAACAGGGTATGGAGGGTAAACAATCAGCCATGGCCCACACAACAGAAAAGTGCAGCTTCAAAAAACAAACAAAGAGTACATGATGGCGTAAACGTTTCAGACATGTCATTCTTGTCAAAGCATCAACCTCGTGATTCAATAACAACCGCTCAGAGGCTGATGACCAGAGACAACAGGAAAAATAACCATAACACCGGGACACCCGATGCACCGCCACAAACGGGTGCAATATTCGGACAACAAAAGAAACTGATAAAAAATGACAGACAGATCTATCGGGATATAGACGGAAGGTGATAAAATAACGCTTCTATGCAAGTCCAACATATAGTGTGAGCTTGGAGTTCCGCTGGATCGCCGTGTCCAGGTCACTATCCGTGGCCAAGTCGACGTACGTCCCGGACGGTTCGTCCTTGTACTGGACCATGATTTCATCCTGAATCTTTAGACGGTCCGTGAGCTTCTCCTTGAGCTGCTGAAGGCTGATGTCGTTCGGTACCCGGATTGCAATGAGGTCGTCCTGGAAGAAAACCTTGACTTTCATGGCACCGCCGCTCGACGTCGACACCTGCGTTAACGAGCTAGGTTGGCGGTTCATCGGGGGTGGTGCGCCATTGGAAAGTGAGAGGGAGGGTTGACCGCGCTGGTGCGAGTTGCGCTCTGTGTGAACGGCAATCGGTGCCTGCGACGACTGGCGCGACACGCTCCGTGACGGCTCATTTGCCGAGGAATGATGCGAGCCACCGGAGAACCGGGTCTCTTCGCCAAATGCGTTCGGATCGATTTCAAAGTCACCGGGGCGGGGAGCGAAGAGCTGACGAACCAATTGGCAACGAGAGATATGGGGCGGCATAGCCAAGAGCTTCTTGATATATTCATCCAAATTCTGTCGGCGGCCGTTGGAGATGGCGTCCGTGACATGGGTGACTGGTCCGGGCATATACGGCAGCGTGCGCGGCTTGCCACGGTTACCGGCTTCCTCCTCGAATTGAGTCAACAGTGCGATCTGGAAATCGTAAAAGTCGTGGTAGTAGCGGGCCAACTCCCAGCAACGACCGTCCTCCATTTTGGCCTCGATGATGTACCAGTATTTGTCGTTGTCAAAGCAGTACCGGGGAATAGACGCCGCGATGGGCGCCATCAATGACTGGTGATAACTCTGCTGCGACTGGTGCGAAACTTGTTGCACAAGCGACCCTTTACTGGCATTGCGAGTGTGGTAGCCCTATCGCACGAAAGGTTAGGGCGACAGTCCTCACGAGTCGCGGATGCGACAAAAGGAGGAAATATTGGTGACTTACCTGGGACTGGCCATTTTGACTCATTTGACTCTGACGTCCTATGGACATCTTGTCCATGCTCGACGTGACGGACTGCATCGACGAGCCACCAGCGGAGTCGATCTTGCCCAGCGTGATGCTGCTGTTCTTGTATTCGGCCGTCATCTTCTTCCATTCCTCCACCTTCGGCACGCCGGCACGCCTCACAGCTTCAAGCGGATCGGTGACCGCTTGACCTGTCTGCATATCGCGAAGTTCGAGGAAGGAAACGGGGATGAGACCCGGGCCACCCAGGCGACCGATAGGTTTGGCGACAAACCATTCCTGGTTCGACTGGGCGATAACAATAATGGCCTCGCCAGCTTTGGCTTCTAGTTCGTCCGGTCGCTCGGCCTGGAAGTCGTACTGAACG